CTTATAATCTACAATTTGATACCAAACGTATTGACATAAATTCAGGAAATAGTAGTTCACTAAAATTTTGAATGTGAGTCAACAAACAAGATGACATGGCCTTCTACCCATCTAGAAAGGGTTAACATCATGAAAATTATCGACTAATCAAAATAAGTGTTTATAATTATTCTAACTATCCAGGCAATCAAAATATTGTCATTATGGTTTATCATTAATATTTCCAATTAAATCAAGGTTGTTCAGCTTAATTAGTTTTAGGACTAACAAAAATAAACTAATTAAAATAAGTGTTTACAGTAATTACTATTTTTAATTCAAGTTTCATGTGAGAATAATCAATTGGTTTAATGTAATAAATTAATGGACCTAATGATTAACCAATTATGAAACTCCACCAATCACCCAGTTGTATTGTGCAGTGATACCTCTGGCATTTCATTTGTCTGATTATTCTTTACCTGAATATAATGTGTTGTGTACTTCTGAGAAAGGGTTCATCTTTCAGAATACTTAAGCTTTATAGTTTTACAATGAGGCAGCAGATGTATTGTAAGGATGACATTCAACTCCCACTATTTAATCAGACAATAGTTGGCAGTGGGTGAAAATAATCTGTGTCATCTCTGCTTTTTTAAAATAACTATCCACTACCGACAATTTATCATGTTGTGTGTTATTAAAGCTGTTAGTTTGTACAAAACTAGAAAGTGCTGCATGCACAGTAGCGGCCAATAGCATGTACAAATTTTAATATAGAATAATTACCTCTTATTCTTTTTTTACATCTGTTTTGTAAGAAACATCTTTATAGACTAAAAGAAACATAAATTGGTTTTAGAAAATTTGAGATTTATTAATATTATTATTATTCAGTATTAAAAATGTGAGTAAGGTATATGAAATAACATGTATATTATGTAGAAAGTCAGCTGCTCCTGTTTTATGTTATTGAGGCAAAACCATACTTCAACTAGGATTAATTGGACCACTTTCTATCATTTGTCTTCATTTCATAAAATGATCTTCTGAAAAAACAAATATAAGGAGTTATTTACTCTTGTATCGAGGTCTCTCACTAATTGTAAAATTTCTTTATAAGAATAATTTTGGAACTAGTTTTTTTGTGTGTAACATAATTACACCAAAAGTTTAATGCTAGAAGAAAATATTCCAGTGTGGTCTGTAAGATAAGACTTCTTCTATTTGAACACTTTGTATATTTAATTTTAGTTATTGCTTGAATTACATGCATACATCTTGTACACTTACTGTAATCTGTACATTGTTCTCAACAGGAATTGATGGCTCAGAATCCTAATACTCACTGTTACAGCTCTTCCTCAGTAATGAGTTATTCAACTGACAAAACTGGTAGACCTCAGATTTATCAAGCATCTGCATCAACTAGGACTGGTCCTGGAGGGGTAATGTATAGAAAAAGTCTCAAAAATAAGATTATTTTGTTTGTCACAAGAGATATTATTATAGACATTTTTTAATTTCTGTTTTGTTGCTTTTTCTTCTCAAAACCAGCTGGTCAGTTATTGGATATTTTTTTATGTTTGTCCAGTTAGTCACTTCTAAGGACTTTTATGTTACCTAGAATATAAGTAATAAAAATTAGAAAGCTCAACTGTTTATATATATATATCACTCACTCTTCAAACACCATTACAACATGGCAACATTAATATAAACCATGTTTTCTTTATCAATTTGTATATGGGATATTCTACATGCTGCACAATAAAATCCTAATTATTCAATGTTAAAAATTGTAAAATATATAAATGAATATACAAGGAAAGCTTAGATGAAAAATGTGGTTTACACCATTCCTGACAAAATTTGGCCACCAATGGCACTGTGTTGAGAATGTGTCAACTGTTAAGTAAAATCCAAATCAGAAGTTTTATTTTACATTTTTGTATGTGTGTTTCATGGAGTGGGGAAGAGGCAAGTAGATTTTTAAGAAGGACTAGACTTTTTCTAGCATTTTGGCTATTAGATAAGAAGTTTTTCAAATATTCCTTATTCCTGTCCCTAGTTGACACCAGTTTTAAGTAATTGCAAGGCAAGCACTCTGATCTTATGGATTGCTTCTTTGTTCTCTGTAAATATAAAGCTAACAGGGTAATTTTTTCAAACAGAATTTGTTAAAAATATATTTTATGTACACAAAAAAACTTGGATGCTTTGGATTAAGTGAAAAGTTTGAAATGTCTTGATCAGAAGGTTTTTATATGAAAGAGTGTTGTTCCACAAGGAGTGAGAAGGAAAACTTGGATAAATGATAATAAAGAAAAATAATTGACACATCTAGATGATAACTATCTCATTTTATCTTGTGCGATGTTTGAAAGATGTCTACTTGAAATGCTGCACAGAATAAAACTAGATAAATTGTTCATTTAGACATGTCAATTTATTTTTTATTATCATTTATAGATTTTATAATTTTCTGTAGTTATAGTGAAAATATACAAAAGGGATGAGCCTATGCTTAAAAAAGAAGGTAAGTTATTCATGTCACAAGTATGGAAAGATTATATGTTTTACGAGATCTTAAGAAATTTTTTTAAAATATGGAAAATTGTTTTCTTCCTTACCATACTGAAGAGCTAATTAGGGAATATACTAATGTAGACCTTACTACCTTTCCATTACATAAAATTCAGATGCTTCTTAATGTATTAGTTAAATAAAAAAGTTCTTAGGTACAAGTGATTGTGAAGCTTATAATCTGTGATTGGGGACTGCATTGGCTCATAAAAAGTTTGAGCCAAAAATTGTCAACCTCAGAATTCTGAACAATCTTGAAAACCAGGAGGCAACTAGAAGCTAACTTTTAAACAATGAATTTATGATGCTTATATACCCATACAGCAAGATCAAGAGACTTACCATATATGTGAAACAAAATAAAAAGCAGTAAGTGTTATTCATGTTGTAGATACAATGTGAATGAAATATCAATGCTGAAATTTTACTACCATCAAATGTGGCTACATAATAGATTGCCAAATGAGAACTTTTGTTGAAATCCAGAAAAGCCCCTGCATGATGTTTGTGATGGGCAAAGGTAGAGTTAATAACCATCATTTTTCCCAGATTTAAGAAAATGCTAGTGGTGACGATAGAGAAGAATTGGAGACATACCTAAATTGAAAAAATGTATTTAATTAATCGTGGAAAAAATGTTAGTATTTTCCCCAACTATGGAACATTCTGGCAAAGTAAAGGATATTGAGGTTTATAAAAGTAAACAAAGAGGCCCAAAGTGACTTAGTTTAATGCTTATTGTATATGAACAATAAAGAGTTAAACATAGTATTAGGCCCTTAAAATATTCTAATGAAAACATTATTATACATGAAATAAACTTGGATCTAAGAGTTAAACAAATTTTAATGCCCAGTATGTAAATTGACGGGATCAAATTCAGGAGATTGGTAGGCTTCAGAGGGGTATCATAGCTTCTGTAAATTAAGTTGTAACCAAAAAAGGTATACTCCAGTAAGGGCTTTGTCTGTTAACCCCCCCCCCAAAAAAAAAAAACAAACAAAAAACCTATCTTTATTGCCAAAAGAACCTGCCTCTCAGTAGTGTTCAGCTAAGAATGTGTGGAGTTTGAGTTGAGGGTTGGTCATATTGTTTTCATCTTGCATAACATTGTAGAAGTGATAATGTTCAGGAAAGTAACACACTTGGCTATCTTATGCTGGAAAATAAGCTTAGTTGAACCCTTTTCAACCATTTCTATCAACTGGCCTTGCAAAAACTGTGGAGGAAGTGCCTGAAGAATCAGACTTTGCATTGCACAACGTGTTCAGCTACTACAGTGTTTTGGATGGGATATGAATTTTACTCCCTCATAGCTTAGAAACTAGTATGTATTCAAGTATGCTGGTGGGCAATTTAGGTTCCAGATATTGCAAGGATTTCAAATCTTTATTGAGGATCTTCTTTAAAAAAAAGAGAGAGAGTACTAGAAAGCTTTGTTTGCCAATCAACCTACCAAACAAACATGTCATCCAGACTTTATACTAGTTGTTGGAATAAGTTACTACTAAATGTAAATTTAAGAAAGGATTGTTAACTGTTTAGTTTTACAGATGGGGAAGAGAGTTCCTTTTTATTGTATTTCTGCCAGAAAATTTATAAAAGAAAAACTTAGACACTAAAAAAAAAGAAAAGTAAAACTCCTGGTATTTTCATGGCAAATACCATGATTCAAACCCTAAAGTTAAGTTATGGCCATTCATTTCTGTGCTTTTCATTCAGTTTGGAAAAGAAAAACTATCCATATAACAAATTGACTGAAATTTACATTCAGGAAACTATTCATAAAAATAAAATGAGAGATTTATAGATTAAATTAGAGAGAAAAACGATAAGATTTTTGTCAGTTGTAGAGGTAATAGTAATAATAAAGCATTTTTGTTATTTATATAGGCTTCTTTTATTATATAGCTGTTTGTAAAGCAATGTTTGTTTTATTTAGATTAAAGAAACTCAAAGGTCAGTGCATGATTCCAGATCAGGATTGCAGAAATTGGCTATTGGTCATCATCTTGGAGAAAAAGCTCACATCTTGGAGAAATCAAAGAACCGGAATACAGGGAAGGAGGAAGAAAATGAGGAATTGATGAATTTGGATGAAGGTGTGAATATTACTAATTGTGAAGATCTATAACAACACTAGTTATCCATTAAAGGTTTAATATTTTTGAGAAATGTAAAGGAACAAATAACTTTAAAGCTATTATGTGTTTGACCCACGATTGTTTTTTCATTTTTAGTAAGTTTTTATTTTTGTCATGAAAAATTGGTTTTACTTAAGTATCCCCAAGTCTATATACAATTGAGAAATGTGTTGTCCTATAAGTTCAGTTGTTAAGTCATTTATTTAGTGAAAAGGGATGGAAGGATTTAGTTTTATATGATGGTACACTGTATGCAGATATGATTTCTGATATAGTTTTCCTACAAATTATGCAATTATTTACATGAAAACTCAGTAAACAATTATAAATGATTTATTTTTATTTTCCGAAACATTATAGTACTTGTATAATTTGTGCACCCACTTGTTGCAAAACTCAAGTATATAGATGTTTTATGTTTAAAACAATATTTATATATCACTCAGCCACTTTAAATGGTGTTCTATTAGCTAATTTCTTTTATGCGGGAAAATAATTAATTATATTTTTTGTTAAAATAACAGTAATTATTGATTGGTTATTAAGGTATTCTGTGTTTTAGGAATTAGTTACTGTTGTGAACCTGTCTTTTAATATATAAAAATTAAATTGGCTGTTTTTAACCAAAGATGGGTGTCATTTGGAGGCTAAAATGGCCCATTGTGTCACAAAAGTTAAATTGGTTTCAATAGTCTTGGTTGTTGCTGTTTCCAGTAGCATGAACATGCAGAAAGAGCTGTATGGCACCACGTAATTTCACTGCTTGCTTTGCCCATATTTTCCAATTATAATCTTTGGGATTTATTGTTAACATACATCAACTCAAGTAGACAAAGTCATATAATCCAAAACATCTTTTTAGATACTGCAGTTACATCCTGTTCCATCACAGCCGTGCAGTAATATCTTGGTAATCGAACCTCAATTACGGCATGATACATCAAAGACTACTGCTTATGCAGCGTCAGTTGATCATCCAGTATGTGTCTGGTGTTGCCATTGTAATGACAGTGGAATGCTGTGATCATGTTGCTTCTGTTTTATAGTATCTAGGATTCCATCATCACTATGATGCATCTCTGCTCCTTACAAAACAACATAAGCAATATTAGCATGTTCACTATACAAAGCATACTTGGAGTTTTCTACCTTCAAGCTATAACAAAGCAAAACCACTTGTAAATAATGTTAGTTTTGTTGAACTGGAAGCATCCGTGATGGGGAAGTGTGCTATTTTACCCCAGCATTTCATTGATGCAATTACTTTAAGCATACCACATAAACATACAACTGAAGTAATACTCACTATTAAGAATATCTGACCAATTATTGGGCTACTAAATGGACACTGGCAAATATAGATTCCAATAATGCAATTTATATGTCAGGTCAAATAAACATCTTGGGCACTTAATATTTGTATTTCTTAAAAATTCATGCACAGGTGCCAGTAACATCATTACTTAACACCAATGACATTTATTTGACAACAACAGTTGTACCTTCTCATACTCACAACAAAGAAATCTAATTATCTATTATTTTGAACAATGTAACATGATAGGTTTTGTATTCTGCCAATAAGAATGATGTACATAATACAGGTAACTAAATGACAGTCTGCAGACTTGTTCAAGTTTTTTTTTAAATGGTTATATTATACAAAATGATCTGATATTTTGGCTGCCCATTCTCTCATACATAGTGATATATGATATATTACCATATGAATTGCTTTCAACAGTTTTGTTTTGTGTGTGTGTGTGTGTATATATATTAACTTTTTCTACAATTATTTGTGAAGAAATTAGCACACACACTGACTAACTTGTAGATCCTACACGTACTGGTGGTCAACTTTAAGAAATTATATATAACTAATATATGTCATTTTATTTGTGCAAGTTTTCATCCAAGTTTGTTATGGGCCATTTTAGTTTCCACTTACCACCCATACTTTCTAACTTAAAACTGACAGTTCAGTACTTTTCACTGTTTCATTTATTTATTGATCTTTTTCATTTTAATGACATTTTTTGTTAACTCAACTTTTGGTTTCCTTTTATAAAAATAATTTGCCTCTTTCTTTATTTCAAATGTTGGTGTGGTAAACAGAAGTCCAGAATACAGGTATATACAAAGAAGAAATGTCAATGACAATTTATTCTCTGAGTCTTACTTGAAAAATTATATTTATATAATACTATTTTTATATGTATTTACTGGTTCAGTGCAAGGGGAAGACATAGGAGGTTAGATCCCAATGTCATCCCATGTGGCCTTAAGGGTGAATACCATGTAAGGGATTCAAATCTGCATGTAGACACCCCTTCTCTCTCTCACTTGTTGACCCCAAGGGTGCATGTCAAGTTTGGGTATGTTTATACATGTGGAAATTTTTATTAAGTGTTTTTGACAAATTAATTTACATGGGTTTTGATTTTCATTTGTATTTTATTACCTAATTGAACCATAAAATCTTTCTTCATATAAATATTTATTTGATTTATTATGCTCATTACTCTACAGATGAACTAGTAGCCTTCAACAGACAATGGCAGCAGTGTGCTCAACCATATAACTGGCAATCAAGGCATGCACAGCTTTCTGATAGAGATCATCATCATCATCAATATAATCGAAACTCTAATCCTTTTGCTGCTTCACAACAATTAGCCATCACAGCTGGACCAAGGTGACTTGGATATTTACTTTTAGTTAGTGTATTGGGAACAGTACAAGACAGAAGATAGCATGTATTAAATAATGTTACCTTGCTTACAGAAAATTGTTTTGTAATTTCCATTTCTGCATCATATACATATTTATTGCGCAATAAAATGTTTCATATTTAAAGTAAATATTCAGCTGTGTTATTTTGCATTAAAAATTTGTACAAAATATTTTGTATTCATATCACTCATTTTTTGAGAATTACATAGTGAATTAAATTTATATTTTTGTATTTGTCACTTGTCTATCAGCAGTACTTTGTGCCATAATTAATTTGGTGGTACTATAGCGTGAGGTCTACCGCTGCATTATCCATCCCTCATGGATATCACACATTTCCATACATTTATTTTGGCGATAAACACTTAATTTCATACATTTTTAT